TCTATTTCAATCTGCCCTGTCCTCCTCAGCTTCTCTGGGCTCTCCCACACAATCTCTTTGCTCTTTTCCTTGGTCAGATCTCTCTCCCACTAACTTTTTTTTTTTTTCTGAAAGATGAGGAAGCACTTACTGAGGCAGGGAAGGAGGAGTTGCTAATTCCCAGGGATTAGATAATCTCTGTCATTATCTCCACATCTGCCGAGAAGCCTTTGGCCACCTCTAGTTGCTGAAGGGCTTTTCTGTGTCATTCTGTCCTCTATTACTAACTCCCAGGCAGGACTGTGCTTCCTTCAGCAGGACAATTCAGCTCCTCAGTACCAAGGATCACTGTACCCAAAAAAGAGTGCCAGTTCAGAACAGTTTGCTGAGGTTTAACAGTTTACAGGTGCAAATTCACCTTGAGCACCAAATAAATTAAAGGATTAAGGGGAATGAAATGATGGGAGGTTTTATTTACTGTCTCCTGAATACTAATGATTTAGTGAAGAGCCTAAAAGATGTGTATTAAAATGAGAGGGGAAAAAAAATCTGCCAAACTGCTTTAGATAAGCTCTAAAAGGTGTTTTTTCTGTCTCTGCTAACAAGCTGTCACGATGCTTACAAAGCCTCATGGGTTGTCTACGGTGAGTGAAAGTATTTGGATTTTATTGTGGTAAATTTGGTTTTGGTTTGTGTTTTGCTGTCACTTGGAAGACAAATTTCTCTGAAGCATTCATATTTCCTGGGGGACAAAGGACTGTTTTGTGACCAGCTCATCAAACAAGTTGGCAAAGTGTCTGCAGTGCCATTTGAGATGGCGTCAAAGCTCCATCCAGACTTCACTGCCAGATTCACGCTTAATGGATTTCAAACAATGCATGATGGCCGTGTCTTGTAAACCTAGAATGAAACTGTCCTTTTGGTGTTAATTTAGTAAAGATTCAGTTCTCTTATGAAAAAAACACTGAAATGGCTGTAACTTTCTTTGTTTCAGATCTATCTCTCCCAGACTCCTCTGTGTCCTAACCCTGTGTTCGACCTGATGCTGAAATGTTGGAGCAGGGATATAAAAGATCGTCCCACTTTTGATATGATTCACCACTTCCTGCTAGAACAAATGGAATCAAATATTTGACTCCAGAAAAAGAGACAAACTGTTGAGAACAGAGTGACTTTTGCCTGTACCTCACAGGAAGATGGTCAGGCCACCTTGCTCTCCTCCCTTGACTGTACCGTATTTAAGTTGAGACGTCCATGGCAGCTGCTCATTCTATTGGCCATGGTCTGACACACAGGACCAGAGGGATCTCATTTGGTTGAAAAATCATCTCCTCTTCTGAATAATTTCCTGGGAATACTGTGAGAGGGGTTTTGTTAGATACCTGTACACCTTTGGGCAAAAACAAATGAGTAAAACTTTGAGGGACTTGGAGCTGTCTCCTGGGTGGAATAGAGAGCTACCGGTCGGTGAGAGCGCTACCACTCAAGAACAGATTTTTAGAAGTAAAGACTTCAGTCTTCTAAAACTATTCCATGAAATCAAATGGAAGTCGTGTGCACATTAGCAAGTGTTACTGTACGCTCTTGCTACAGACAATATGTATAGTGAGACTAGAAATGTCTAGAGCTAGGAAATGGCTTAACAGACTTGAGAACTGATGGAGCATTTAGCAACCCTTTGGAAGTCACGCTACCAGGGTCTACGGAGGATGCTGAGACAAGAGTCCAAGATCATGTTCTTTTTTCCTGTGGTTGTTAAGCACTGCTTTTGTTATATATGTGCGTTTTCCCCACACTGGATTTTTTTTTTCTAGAAAAAAAATTTTGAAAATGAATGTTAAAGGTCATAGGAAGGTCACTGCGATAGAAGATCTTCTGACCTACAAATTAAGGCTAGGGTAGGGAGTTTGTATTGAAAAGTAGCTGATACTGTACTACTGTCACTATGTAGATTTATTAACCTAATGAACTTGTAGCCACAATGGACTGATGTGCAATTAATCCTGTATAAGTACCCATTAATATGAGATCTCTAAGTCAGTGCTGTTACATGTGCAGAGGAAACTTAGATTTGGTGAAACCGAATGGCTGAGAGCAGAACCCGCTATGTCACTTGTCCTGGCTCACATGAGAGGAAGAGGAGCAGGGTACAGGTCATCCCCCGGCACACGCGCGCTGGGATGTGCAAGTCTGGCGCCGGCGGTTCCTCCCCAGGGCTGCAGCAGGGCTGGTGCTGTCGCCCAGGCAGATGTGCTTCGGCCCAGGCTCCTTTGTTGCCCTGATCAGCTCTGGCATTGGGAGATGGGACTGACACATCCCCTTAGTTTAGGCCTGGGTTTTATTTTGGATGCTCCCTGCACAATGCAAGACCATTTACTCATTGAACTTGAGGTTGTTTTTTGTTTGTCGTGACACAAATGGCTCATTCTCTGGAGGGTTTTAGAGGGCTCTGAAATCCATTTGGAGTGAGTTAAAGAATTCAGCTCGTTTCTACAATGAATCCATTGTGGATTTACCAGGTGCCTGGGGAATACACTGCTATTCCCTCTCAAATCATTTAGCAAGATACTTAGGACCAAACCAGATATTTCATAAGCTGGAAGAAGGTGAAAGCTCAGCACTTGGCTTTTTTTTAAACAGCATCCAACATAGCACATATTTCCAGTAAAGATTATAAAGATAATTTTTACCTTAGCCACAAGCATAATATGAATGGCTGTCTGTGCTGTGAGCTCTGTGAGAGGACACTGCTGAGAGAGGGAATATCAAAACACTTATGAGCATAACTTATGTTATGAATTGGCAGCTGCCAGGACGGACCACGGCATGGCCAGTGTCTGCCTCTGGGCAGAACAAACTGTAGTGAAGTTTCTGGGTTGCAGCTCACTTGATGGGCCTGTGCCCGGGTTGTCCTGCTGCAGACCTGGCGTGGGGCTCCCCTGGCTCCATCCGAGCTGGCCCCTGAGCCCCCTTCACGTGCCAAGGAGCCAGAGGGTCTGTCATCTCTCCCTGTGAGGGCTACATGGGCTCAGGTGAATCTCACCCCCAAATATGTTGGGTTTTTTCTCCTTTGACTAGAGGGGCCCAGGGTGAGCTGCCAATACATGTGTGCACCGTCTGTTTGGAGTTGGGTGATGGGAGTCGAAGCCAGCGTGGTCCCTGCTGCAGCCTGTCAGGCACTGGTGGCTGACAAACCACACATCAGTGATATTTCTGGAGTATTTCTATCCTGTTCCAGAAAATGTACCCAAGTAATGCACAGCCGTGTGTGTGATCTCCTGTACTTCAGAGTTTAGAGATACCAGAGCACTGTAACGTCACCTGGATGGGCTTTGTACTTCTGTTAGGTCAGGATGTGCTGTTCCTCCGCTGACATGTTGACATACGAAGTTTCTCTCGTATCAATAAATTCTAATGATAACCTTGACAAAAGTGAATTTCTGCTTTTTTTTTTTTTTACCCAGGTGTCTGTACTGAGGACCGATATTTTGGTCTGATTATTCAGTAGTTCTTTAAGTGTGACCCCAGGTTTGGAGGAAGAAGCAGCCACTGGCTATGGCTGTTTAGAGGAGTGAGCTTTGAAGGGAGTTTCTGAAAATGCTGGGAAGATGCTGGCCTGAGCCTCCTCAGGAGCTGAGGAGGCTGATGGGACCTGGAACAGCTTGGGATCATTGTTCCATGCCATGAATATGGTGCTGCATGTCAGTAAGCAATTTTTTTTATGTTCATATTAAACCTAGAGGAAGATCTAGGCTGGGAGGAACCTTTGTAAGCCTGTAATCCAGTTGTACACTAAAAGCTGAGCTAATTTCAAAGCTGCATTGGGGTGCTCTGGGTGTTCCCCAGCTGAGCTTTGAACATGTCCAAGAATGGAGATGTCACTGTGAGCTAGGGCTGTGCCTCTCCCATGGGGGAGAATTTTCTCCTTGCATCCAGCATCCCTTTGTTGCATCCTGTGCCCCTTACCTCTCGGTGTTTTGCTGCACACCTTTGAGAAGAGCCACTGGACGCCTCACAGACCCATCCACCCTGCTGACCTAGGGCTGGTGGAGAGGTGGGCCCCTGGCTGGAGTTCAGGTACTTGGGCAAACTCAGCTATATTTATAAAGGCTGGATATTCCAGATTTCTCAAAGTGTTTAGGCACTAAAGGCAAGAGTCAAAGCAGCATCTTTATCTCCTGAGATACAATTTTGGATGGAGTAAAGACACCTAAACAGCTGAGAACAACCCTTGAGTACTCTGATTTCTGGTTAGTATCTTCAGAGTATCTGCCATCCATGTGTCCAAGCTCTTCAAGGCTGCAGAGGGCTTTGGCAGTGAAATAGGCTTGTTGCTGCTGTTGTAGTCGGTGGGAACTGCTGGTGCTATCAGTTGTAGCAGTCTGACTGGCCACTGTGTGGCTGTTCAGTGAACAGGAGGCCCAAGTCCTGGGCCAGACTTCAGCTGGAGGGGTGTGACCCCCACTGCACACAAGACAGCATGACCCTGTGATGTTAGGAACAGGAACAACCTTTATCTTGTGTGAAGCATCCTCAGCCAACCAGGCGGGGAGGGTGACAAGGGGCAGGGAGAGAAGGGCTGAGCCTTCCACCGCAGTGCAGTGAATCCCCTAACCTCGGCCTTGGGAGGTGGGCAGTGGCTCTGTGTGTGCAGACAGTGCTGGCCTGGCCCTGCGTGGGCTGCACTGTTGGCTGGGGCACACACAGCCAGGCTGCACATGAACTGCAGCATGAACATGTATCTCTGCTGGGACTGCTTACAGGGAACAGCTGGTGCTGCTGTCCCAAGGGCTATGAGCCTTCAGGAAACCTGACAAACACTATAAAGTCTCTGTGCTCATCCAAAATTTCCAGGTGGGAAAAAGACATGTCCAGAAAAACCTGACAAGCTGTGTGCTGCAGCTGGAAGTGCTGCTGGGTACTGACACCGCTCCCGGCAGCATCACAGAGGTTTCCTGGGCAACTGCATCACACTGAACCTCCTTCCTCCCACGCCCGCCACAGAGTGCTGCCACATTGCCATGGCAGCCCCGAAGGAAAATAACCTCTTCCCTCACAATCCCTACTATATCCCTGGGTAAGTTCTGAAGTTTTTCCAAAATGCCTGTTCATCTCCAATGCAAATAGCTCCAGCTGGGATCACGTAGTATTTAGGATTCATGATATTTTAGGTTTTTTTTAAAGACATTAATAAATATTCTATGTAGCAGGGCTCCAGGATAAGAAGCACCACCTTATACTAGGGTATAATTAAAGACCATACCATAGCTCATTGAGCCTAAAGTCAAAATCTTTTCCCCCCTTTTTTTTTTCATTTGTTTTAAGCTGCCAAATGTTATCAGGGCTGCTGTGCAGGGTTTGGCTCCCAAACTGTCATAACTTTTGCATCAAGGATGTTTGAAGATCAACTTTAAATATTTGCATCGACATCACACGCTTTTGTCAAATTGGTTGGAGTGCAGTCCTGCTGCCAGACCCAAGCTCTTTGAAGAAGTTAGTGACTGTGGATGCTGGCGATCTAGTTGATACACAGTCAGACTTTTTCCAAAGCTTTTTGCAACATTCTCCTCTAAAGGCTTGGAAAGAAGAAACTAAGCTGTCATGGTTAAGAGGTGATGAGTTATTGGTTAAAAGGTAAGACACAAACAGCAGAAATAAGAGGATAGGCTTGGTGTGCATGGGGTTCCCTGGTGACTTGTGCTGGGGGACGTGGTCCATGACGCACATAAATGGGTTGGGAAGGGCTGGATGGCCACTGAGGGAAAACAAGCTTCTGTTGGTACAAAAATCTCTCAGATCAGTCCAGCCTGAGGGTAACTCCAGAGGGCATGAGGGTGATATCCCAGGGCGGAGGGGCTGCTGATGGACCAGGCTGCAAACTTTGGCACAGAGAAAACCAGCCCTGTCCCACAGGGCTGCAGGTGCAGCGCAGTATGGGCAGGAGGGGGGCAGATAAAGGGTGGAGCACGTTTTCCTGTGGTGACGATCAGATCAGTCCTTCCCATTAGAGCAGCGTGCAGGATTTTTCCATTACTGATATCTGTATCTTCTAAACTTACATAAGCTCTGGGGTTGGGGAGTTTTAACAGGTTTGTGCATTACTGCAGTTGTCTGAACGATGTGATGTGTTACTCCATGCATGCTGTCACCCTGTCAAAGCTGTGTGCTGGCAACAGCTTGGGAAAGATGAATAATAGCAAGGAGGGAGCTGTGGCTGGACTTGCACGTCCAAAAGCCTCAAAACATTCCATTGCTCACTCCTGCCAGCATACAGCCCCCGAAGAAGCAGCTTTGAGCCCTAATACTGACACAGCAGCTGGGGCTGTTCCTCCCCTGGCTGGTGCTTTGGTCACTGAAGGCAGGAGGAGGAGGAACCAAGTTCTGCTACTGTGTTTTGCAATGCTGTGCAGGCTCATAGCGTCAGGCCGAGCCCTGGAGGAAGCCCCTGTGGGTGGTGAGGGTGTTGCTTTGTGTCTGGTTTGGGTGGTTGAGTGCAAGGAGGAGCTGCCTGAAGGGAGCCCAGGCTCTGCTGCTGGCAGACAGTGCACCCTGTGCTGGGGTGCTGGCAGAAGGAGGAGGAAGATGCCACGTGGCAGCAACTCACCCCTTGACCCGTGCATCGTACCCAGCTGTGCCAGTGAACTGGCAAACACAGTGAAGTCATCAGAACTGGTTGCTGTTGCTCAGGTTGGGCAATGGTCAAGCCAGGGATTTGAAAATGCCACTGCAATGCTCGAGAGCATTGGGAAGCCAAACCCAATGTGTGGGATGGTGTGGGATGGACTTGGCACACAGAGAAGGGGTAAATTCATGAATCCCAGGCACCGGGCACAGCCCTGCCTGCCCCATCCCGGCTTGGTGGCGCTAGGAAGGGCGCGGAGCAGAGCAAGTCTGGGGAGTGGTGATTGAAGAGATATGGCTGAGTAAGAGAAAAGTGAAATGGGGCTCAGCCTTGGGAAAGCAGGTTACTCACCGCTCACTGATGTTTGAGATCAGCAGCTGCAGTGGCTCAGCATGAACTACAGAAACAGGGGATCCCTCTGGTTTCTTAATCAAAACACCAAGCAGGACAAGCAGCCCTCCTCAGACCAGTCTCTTCTCCAAGCACCAGAGCTTTTATCAGCAGCACTTTTCATTCACTTCGTGGCTGATTCCTTCTCCCTAAACCCAAACTGCCTTGCCTGAGCTCCTTGGATTACCTCGCTTTTAACTCTTTATGAATTGAATCCTTTCTCAGCCCTACCATTATTCATGATCAAAATCCCTCTGGCTATCCTGTAATTATTCAGGCTCTGTCATTTGCAATCTTGCTCAGCTTTCTCGTCCTGGCGTAGCTTCCCCATGTTGCAAGACCTATTGAAAATCAATGTGGACGAGCCACCGACCTCCTCCGGCAGATGCTGGTGAGAGATCCTGCATGCAAAGTGGGAAAACTTGCCAAGTGTAAATGCATAGCTCTGCTCACTGTTGTTTAAAGTATTTGGAAGGGAAAGTACTTACTCATCATCTTATGATCCTCGTGCATCATCCAGCTTTATCCCCAGATAGGCAGTGGGCTCATTGATTGAATATTTCTGTCTGTACACTGCAACTGGTAGCTCTACATTTCTTCTTCAGTGGTGGAAATTTGATACTGGGAACAGTTAAATTTTCTGCACCTGCCCTACCCTGAGCCACCAAGAACTCAGATTGCCCATCCCATGACATGGGGAGCAGAGAAGCAGTGTGTTGCTATGCACCCCGCACAAAGGTCCTGAAAAACTGAGCAATGTTTGTTACTGGGGCTGAGCAGCTGCCTGCCCACCCATGCCTCTCCTGGGTAACGCAGGGCCTGGTTAGGTTTGTATAAGGGTGTGGAGTGGAGAGGTTTGCCAGGTACAGGTACATAATTTTTCTGATTTTTAAATATTGAACAATGGACACTGGGAAATTACTGGTAACTCACTAATTTAAAACAAAGAGAAGGATTGTATAATTTCAAACTGAAGCATTTTTAACTGGAAATATTATTTTTAACCGGAGGGCTGTCCCTATCGATGCCAGCAAAGTCTCTGCAGCCCACGCTGTGCTCCTGCCATCCGCAGGTGCTGCTTCAGCCACCTGCCCCAACCTCATTCTCTATTTCTCTGTGAACTGAAGCGTGAGCTTGTGCCTATACGCACCTGTAAATCTGAGCCAGCCTTCCTCCTCGCGTGTGCAAATGCACACGGACACACCTGCCTGGCTTCATGCAAATCCACATGCATCTGCTCAGTGCTCCCCTCGTGCTGCTGCTCCAGCGGCATGAACTGATTCACACTCACAGGCCCATCCCTGCACAATCCCCTTCCCTGGGCTCGTACTCCAAGCCGTGTGTGCTCTGGCCATGGCCTTGCCAGTGTACAAAAGCTCTAACTAAGGCAGGTTATCCCGCCAGCGGACACCCTTCAATGCCACCGCAGTAACCACTCCTTTCTGGTTTCCTCCTCAGCTACGATGGCTTCATCCCTCAGTACAAATATCAGTTTGGAAAGACTTTTGGCAAAACCACTTACCACCTGCTGACAGATCCTGGTGTTGCAAAGAGCCCTCGCCCCTTGCTGGCGCCGCTGCACAAGCAGGAGTTCACGGAGGACTTCAGCAGGACGAAGGATGGTGTCCAGGGTTATCTCCCTGAGCGTCCAGGTGAGCAGACCCCAGGTCTCATCCTTTCGCCAGAACAGGGTCAATCGTGAGCAGCAGGGTCTGTACTCATCTTCAATAGGCTCCTGGGGTGAAATGGATGTTTTCCATGGAGCAGTCACAGCTCTGGTGTTGGAGCATGGGCAGTCAGAGAGCAGCACCAGAGTGGAGCTGGAGCACTTGGCTTCAGCTGATGACCACAGGCCCTCTCACTTTGGCATCTGATGGAGTGAAGAGGAGAATTTTAGTTTCTAGGTTATCTTCGGTTAGATGAAGATAAATGATTTTATGTCCTATTATGAATTCACTCCCTAATTCTTTCATATTCCCATCATGGTTTAATCACAGCCACCAACTAAGCACCACAACTGCTCACTCCCCTTCAGCAGGCTAGGGGGAGAAGATTGAAAGGGTGAAAACTCAGCTGTTGAGATAAAAACAGTTTAATAATTGAAATAAAATCAAATAATAATTCTAACGAAAAGAATAATAGAGAAGTAAAACCCAAGACAGACAAGTGATGCAAACAAAACCAGTTGCTCTCCACCAACCGACCGATGACCAGCCAGTCCCTGAGCAGCAGTTGTGTGTCTGTTCCATGTGTGCACGTGTCCTGCCCCACCGCCAGCCTCTCCCTCTCTAGTTTTTTTGCTGAGTAGGATGTGATATGGTCTGGGATATCCCTGGGGTCAGCTGTCCCGGCCGTGTCCCCTCCCAACTTCTCGTGCAGCCCCAGCCTGCTTGTGGGTGGGGTGGCGTGAGGAGCAGAAGAGGTCCTGATGGTGTAAGCACTGCCCAGCAGCAACAGGAACATCAGAGTGTTATCAACACTATTTTCAGCATAAATCCAAAACATAGCCGCATACTAGCTATTATGAAGAAAATTAATTCTACCCCAGTCAAAACCAGCACAGTTCCACAGGCTAAAATCTATTTCTCTGGGGATGGTTGGCTCACCCCTTTCCTGTCTGGCCCACCTGCTGCAGAGCTCATCATGTTCAGAGCTCTTACCTGCAGCTTGTGATTCATTTTGCATCTTGCTGCTCCTACCTCAGCTCAGCAGAGGGGCTCACGTCCCCTTCCCCCCCATCTCCTCCATCGCACACTGACACATGCTCACATAGATTCCTGGGTCTGGGCCATTTGCAGGATTCTCCTGCATCCCAACCCTGCCAGGCAAAGGGCCGGGTCCCTCTTGGGCAGAGCCCGCAGCAGCCACTGCGCCATGAGCCTGCAGCAGCCCCTCTCAGGGACGTCTCCTTGGGAGACTCGTGTGCCACGTATCATATCACGTGTCTAGGCCTGATCTGTTCATCTGTAGCGGATGCCCCATTCAGTGGGAGCAAGTTCTCTCCTGGCTGAACGTGGGGCTAACGTGTCCAGGCAGGATCTGGGTCTTCATTTCCCTGGAGACAGTCACACCGAAGCAATGTTTTCCCATTTCTCACTGGGAATTCAAGCAGTATAGCTTCTTGCAAACTTTTGGCCTTTCTGTTCATCCTGGCCTTGTTTTCCAGGATCCAGGGCTCTACTACACAGGTGGTGTTTACAGGCTTCATTCCTGGACGTTTATATTTCCATTTCCTTGAACTATTATAAAATGTAGTTTGGATGGACTCAACCAACCAGTTGACCCAGTTGCTCTCTCATTACCCTGTCCTCGTTCTTGTGCTCTCCTTGCCAACCTTATGTCACCCATCAATGTCTGCAGCTGGGAGCTCACATTTGCTGCTTGTTGGTGAAACGCTGAAGAACGTGGCCACAGGGGAGCACCTCGCTGTGCTGGTAATTCTTCTCCAACAGCTCCTGCCGTCGAGCTGTTGGTGAGTGATCCTTAAAACCCTTCATTGCAAACTTCATTAGGAGTGGCCGGCATCCTTCTGGGTATTTGACATGATGGAGACATGGACGTGGCAGTGTTGGATTGTGGGGCTGCCTTTAGCAAACTCAGTCTGAAGACTTTTTCTCAAGGTTTATTTTTGATGAAGCCTTGTTGAATCCCACGATGTTGTTTTTTTCCTGGAAGTGAGGTTCAGGTCAGGTGGGGATATCAACCAGGGTTTTGCTGGATCTCCAGAGGTGGCCGTGTTGGCATTGAGGGGGTTATGGCACAGGCCAAGCATACAGGTGCCTGCTCCCCAGGAACCTGGGCTGAAACTGTGTCGGTACTAAATCAAATGCACAATGCTCTGCTGGCCTTTCATTTAGTACCTTACTGTGCAACCTTCCTGAATCAGTAAGTTTGCAAAACTCAGGGTCACATAAAAGAGCTCATACAGATTTCTTAAGTGCAAAACAACTTCATTTTTCCTTTTTCTTTGGTTTGCAGCATAAAAAGAAGAAAGTAGATGCAATATTTTCATTAATAATTAAGGAAATGCTAAGACAAACCTGCTTTAAAATTTGTACACTGTATTGAAAAATAATTTTCATCAACAATTTGTCTTTGTCTCTAGCTATCAACATTTGATAATACAGTTACATAGACTATATATACTTTATAGAGTTATATACAGTATATGTACTTTATAGTCATATACAGTATATATAGTTTATAATACAGTTATAAGGAGATTGCAAACCTGGATGCCCATCAGAAGTCTTATACTCTTGCAGAAAGGAGTGAATTTTGCTCCATGCTGTTTGAGCTGGGACAGGTAGTTATTCTCCGGGACTCTGCAGATGAAACCTTCGCTGCAAGACGGGGTCTCATCTTTGGGGCTTTGCACTGTGATGCAGGTGTTCACCAAACATGAGGATGTCGGGGGAAGGCAGTAATGACCAGAGGGCTGAAAAAAAAAAAAATTACCTATGAGAACAAAAATGGGAGCAATTTGGTTTGCTTGAAAAAGGCAAAACTGACAAAGTAAGTTTTCCAGCAAGGAAAAGGTGGTTGCAGGGCAAAAGAGTGATCACTCTCTGTAACCACTGAGGAGGGAGAAATTGGCTTCACTCCTGTCACAGAGCACCAGGACTGGAGGTGTCATACGGGGCCGGGGCAGGCTGGGGAGCCACGTCATGGGATATTTTTAAGGGAAAGCCAGACAAAAGTAGCCAAGCTCAACTGTCTTTGCAGAGTCTCAAGCCACGGGGCTCTGTCCCTAGTTCACAGTGGAGATATTAGCATACACTAGATCTAAGATAATCTTTTTCCCAGCCATCATTAGAGCAGACCCTGTCCTTGATGAATAGCAGCAATGCCAGTGCAAAAATTCCTCGAGGTGGGTGTGTGTTTTGGGGTGTGCTGACAGCCATATGGAGAAAAGGATATGTTTGTTTGTTTTTTGCCCATTCTTTATAGGTTGGATGTTGGTATTTTACAGTTTAGGTATCAGAATAGTTGAACTATTTGTGCAGTTTTTCGGTGCAGGCTGGTTTATTGGGTGGGGCTGATGGCACTCGCAGGACACAGTCACAGATGAGGATGCTATTGACCTCCAGGCTTCTTTCCTTCTACAGAGGGGTGGGAGAGGGGGCTGGGGTCCAGTGTGGTGGGAATCACTTGTCCTCATTTGGCCACTCCTTTCCCTTAACTCAGTGTCTGTCCCACAGGGCACCTTCCCCATGAGAATCCTGGGGCTGCACCAAGCTTTCCTGAACCAGTCCTTGGGCCAAAGCCTCCCCCACTGTGGCCAGGACCGGCAGAGGAAGAGCTGATGATGATGCGTGCGGACCCCCTGCCCGCAGACCCCCTGCCCCAGCACCCCCCTGGTGAGTACGCCTCAAGGACACAACTGCCTCAGGCGTACCCACAGAGGATTTCACATCGTCTGGAATCTGAAGGGAAAGAGTGGCGGTTGCCCGAGATAACCCCAGCCTACGGACAGGGAAAAAGGTGCAGACCCAGCTGGCTCGGCGGTGACTTGGTGGGAAGCAAACCGGTAAGTGGTCGTGGGTGGAAAAACGTGGTGTAAGGGATGCTGCTGCAGAGGGATGGGGCTTGGGGACTGGTGGGCATGGAAGGGATCTCTCTGGTGGATGAAGAGGGAATTTCCTATGGGTGTGGATGGCAAGGATGGAAAGTTTACTGTCATGTAGAGAAACATTAAATACACAAATGTTTCTAGCAGTAGCAAATCCACCACAACATCAGGAAATAGTTGTAATTGTTAATTAATCTTCCTAATAAAAAAGGTTTAACTTCTCTTTTGGTTGAGTTTTAGCTTCAAATCCCAGTTATTAAATCTTACGTTACGCTGTGCTACGCAGCCAGGCTTGTGTTTCCTTCAGGTGAACTGTGAGCGCTGCCACTGTTCTCCTCCTCCCAAAGACAGAGCACTCCTGGCACCTCTATGTGCCAGGTTTCTGAACCCTTAACTGCTCCACTGCTCACCTGAATTTCCCATCATTGTTACCCCTCACAAGCATTGGGAGTTGCCTATGGAGCTGGGTGCTGCTTTGCACAGCACTGCTGGTATCACTTGGGACCAGCATGTTTCACCCCCTTATTTCTTCTGGGGCCAGAGAGAGCTTTTGTCACGTCACAGCCAGCCAGGGCTCTGCAAATCCCTTGAAGGCAGAGATTAGAGATTTGACGTATCAAGTCAAAAGCTGGCTTGGATATAAATCCCAAGAAGGGGCATTCCTGCTTTTTGCTCCGAGAAACAGATTTGTGAAGGAGCTCAGCACCCAAAGGCCCCTTTGTTCTCTCTGGGGATTTTGCAAAACCTCTGTACACAGAGAATTCATCTAGTAATTTGACTTCCAGAAATTCTTGGAGTGGCTCTTAGTGTAAAGCCAGGAAGAACTGGAAATGGCAGTTGCCATTCACAGGTTTTGGCAGCAATGTAAGCAGTGGACCCAAAGGAGGAAGTGGGGTTTACTGATGTTTATTTTATTTCTGCTTTTATTTTGAGCCTGTAAAAATTGAAGGTATGACTCTGCCAGAAGAGGCTATAACTGCAGTTATGGAGCAAGATTATTGGTTACCAAAACTGGATGTGCCATGTGTGATCCAACAGAAAGTCATTCCAGGTAAAAAAGAGGGAAGTCATGTGCAGCATGAGTCCACCTCAGGCGAAATTGTGTCACCCTTCTCCCCCTGGGGGAATCTCAAGAGACATTGGCCAGTCACTCCAGCTCGTCTGAACATTTTGGGATGGAAAATGTCCCTGCTCCTCTCCATGCAAGGGTGTTTCTTTGGGATGCTGTCAGCCCTGTGGATCTCATGCTGAGGGACATGTGCCCATGGGCAGGTGGAAGGGGTGCAGGAGCCACCTCAGTTCCCCACAGCTGTGGGGCCAGGCTAGAAAATGCTCCAGGAAGCAAGGGGAGATGGGTTATGGGCTCTGCACCAGCCCCAGCAGCTTGTTGAGTGTCTATTACCGTTGAGGTAGTTACTTTGCTCCTAGAAATAAGATGCTTTTCTGGATCATCAAATCAACAAACAGTGGTGTATTGCACCATCATAAATGTATAAAGCTGTCTTACAAGGAGTTATACTCTGTAACTTCACCATTTTCACTACTGGAAGAGCATTTCTCTGCAAGGAGGAGGATTATAAAGGGTGATGCACTGGACTCCCCCCTAAAGGGTACAACACCAGTGGGGAGGACACTTTGATCTGCAGCAGACCGCAGAGAATACAGGGGCTGTATGTCAAAATGTTTCAGACTTGGTGAAAGAGCATCAATGTTATAGGATGCAGAAGACAAATTTCCCTCTCTCCAGAGCATCCCTTTGGGAAGAGGGAGTTCTGGCTGCTCCTTAAGTTGTACCTCTCTCTCCATTTTATGTAGTTTTAGATTTTATATAGTTTCTGTATTATAATTGGTGAAAACTGGTTGGATGGGCAGGGCAAATGAGGAAGAAAGGTTGGACACCCTGTTGTTAGCTCCTGAATGTGTATTAAACTGGGAGAGAACATGACAGAGATGTTGATGTAAAGAAAAAATGAAAATTAAATGCTTCTTCTATACCTCATGGAGACCAACAAAGATCAGTTCAGCCCATTAATTTTTCTTTGCAAATAATAAAAAAGGCTCTTCAAGAAAAGATACTTCACATGTAAGAGATAATTTTACAATTTAAATGGATGATTTTTTCCTTCCAATACTTTGCCAAGGTTTTATATTTATCCCAGCCTCTTCCACTTCCAGACTGGTTAATCCTTATACAATATGTATGTTCTCAAGCAGAAAATGTTCCCTCTTGTCTTCATCCACAGGGTATGCTGGATTCATCCCCTGCCTCACCTGGGTTAGCGGTGTGAACTACATCCAGGCTGTGAAGGAAGCAATGAATGAATTTGACCGACGTCAGGTAGAAGATATGCACAAATCATATTTCAACGGTATAATGTTGGTGTTGATTTATCTGCAACACCAAAAGTGGTTTCATTTACAGTAGTAGTATTAGAACTGGGGTTCTAAGTACAAGCAAAATAAAATGCTATTAGGTAACACGTTGAAAAAATCATGAGCAATTAAATTCTCTAACTTGTTTCCTTGGGACATTAAGGGAGGATAAATGAGTTCATAAAAGGATTAAGCAAATCTATTGAGGGTTAGGTCAAGGGTGGCTATTAAAAATGTTGCTCTGAGTGCAGAAACACAGATGCATCTATCTGTGCTTCCCTTATGCAATATATCTTTTCTACCTGGATGGTTTCCTGGGCTGCTTGAATGGCTATTTCTCCCTCATAATGGGTTGTAAGGCTTTTTCCTTTACTAACATAATTTGTCTTAAAGGGATCTAGATCTTCTTTCTCCTCCTTTTGGGAAGGACGCAGAAATATCCCTACTGAAAAACTATTTTGTCCCCTTGCTGTAAGCTCTCCCATATAATGCCATGTAGTCCTCCCACACAGGAAAATGAGCTCTCTCCCACAGTAGTTAACAGTTTGCATTCAAAGCCACACATTTCTTTCTGCTACCAGGATAGAGTGAGATCCCCAAGATGCAGCTGTCTTGCTGGTGAGGGCTGATCATTAAAAGCAGGTTACAACATTTCCAGCCCTTTCTGGTCACCAGGATTCACTGCAGTGCCTTTGTTGTCCCAGAGCATGTGGGTCTGATGTAGAAAAAAGACCAAGACTGAGGATCCCCAGCTCAAAGAAACTCAGCTGGGAAGAAGTGACTCAGCAGGGAAAGCAGCAGGGCTGACAGTGCTTGTGGCAGCCTCATGCTTTGGCTGAAATGTTTTTTCCTGTGCTGGCTTCCCCATCCTTTCCTTCTGCTGTTAATATGAATTGAAATGAAACAGAACAAAAATCAGGCATTATCAAAACTAAATGTGCTGCTTGCAAAGCCTTTCTCCCCCTGTTTTCTTAAGAAACACCTGCCATGCAGTGAATTGGTGAGGGAGGTGTTTCTGCATCGCAGGATGCAGCAGAGGTTAGCTGCAGCGTATCAGGCACTGAAGGAATATAAGCATGATTAAAAGAAAAAAAACCAAACCAACACACCACATTTCTGTCTAAGATGGCTTCTGACTTCAAGCCACTAATCTTCTGCCCTAGATCTCCGTTGCCCTAGGTTACATACTGGGATGCGCTGTGGATCATTGCTTACTGTCTGCATCAGGCAAAATAACGCAATCCTCTCGCTCCAGTGCCGTGCTTGAGGAATTGAAGCAATTGCTCCAGCGCTAGTCACAAAAGGGTTCAGTGGCCCCGTGGTTTGCTCAGCTCTGTAAACCCTGTCTCTTCTTCACCGAGGAGGTGGCACAGCTTTAGTGACACCTTTAGGGGTTTTGCGGCTGCAGAGAGCGGCAATATCCACCCTCCAGCACAGCCCCTTGTCTGGGTCTGGCCGCAGAGGGCCAGATTTACACTCTCCCTTCAGTTAGTGCTCCCTAAGCCTTCCTTGTTCCTCTCAGCCTGAGCATTAACAGCTGATCATCAAAAAAACCCCTCAAAACCAGTTAAGTGGGTTGAACCAAAACACAGATGTGCAGAGTCATAGCACAGGAGCAGACAAGGCGTGTATCCAACTCCAGCAGATACTGCTGGCTCACGGTGTATCAAATGTAGGAGCACAAGGCGTTTGGGACGTGCAGATGATGCCCAGGGGTGACGAATGCAGCGCGGACTGTAGAGATCCTGCGACTAGGCCTAGGCCAGGCACTGCTCTGTGCACCTGGGTAGGCACTAGCAGAGGCAGCGCTGTTGAGAGCTGCTGCCAACACCTGTTGGGAGAAAAGCTTATAAAGTGGAAAAAAGGGAAGATGCAATGTAGATGCTAATTAAAAGAACACAGAACTGGAAGGAGAATTGCTGTACATCGGCTTAAAATATTTAATATGGAGTCAAAGTACATGACTTGGGTAATAACAATATGGTTGAAAATGAACTGTACTATGGTGGTAGGTTTTTTTAATTCGATTGTTTTCCAGATGATGTACAGAAACCCAGCTTGCAGCTCTGGCAAGAGATTTCCCCAAACATACTGGCCTAACAACAGAATTTACACCAGTGATGGACTGATACCTTCCTACGCAGGCTTCATACCAAGTAAGTTTATCAGCTGAGTGAAAATGAAGGTCACCAATACTAATTACCATCATTAAGCAGCACTGTTATTAGCTGTAGTGTTGTAGAAGTGAACAATTACTAATGTTCCACAAGGGTAGTAGATTTTTTTCTACTCTGAGCCAAGGTGCTGGAGTCGGGCCACCCCCTGCCTTTCTGCAGGAGAGCCCATCGTCCCATGGCCAGCCAGGGCTTGCGCAGAACATTCCTCTGGTTTCCAGCCACCAACCCCCTGCTGCAGCAGAGGAGGCTCAGCAACAAACACCCC